AACAAAACACAGCCAGAAAGAAAAGCTTGTAGTTAGTTCAAGGATTGTTTGTTGGCCTTGTTGTTGTTGAGAAGCTGCTTTTTCGTTTTGTTTTGAAGTCTTCTTGGCATATAGTTCACATATCATACCACTCAACAGTTCAGTCATATTAAGAAGAGGTGTACAATGTTGTTGGGCAGGTTTTGATCCCTGACTTGATCTCTTCATACCCCTATAGCTCTGTTGGGACTTCCTATTTTCCCTTGAGTCCGTTTGGGTAGGCTTTATGCTTCTAAGAATTTGTCCATTCCATTGAGGTTATCCATGGGCTCCTGTGGACACAGTGGGATATAGGTTGCTAATTGCAAAGTCAGCATTTCAAAACCACCAGTCACTCTGAAGAGAAATATGAGACTTTCTACGCTCCTTAAGATTTAATTTCGGAAACTCACAGGGGAAGCTCTACTTTGTCCTCCAGGGCCATTGTGAGCCAGAATTGACCCAAGGGCAGTAAATACTTAGGGTTGCTAGTTTTTTCTATATAGTTCAGAATATTCGGACATTATTCTCTTTCAGTTATTTGCCTCCATCTAGCTGAAGGTCTGCCAACTTCCTTGATCTCTTCAAAGAACAAACTTTTGACTTTGATTCTGTTATTTTTCTGGTTTTGGTTTTATTTTGTTGGGTTTTGTTTTGCATGATTAAAGGGTTTATTGGATAAATTACATTGTAATGTCAAGGAGAAATGCTCAGGGTAGTTTACCAGGGCATGTTACAAAATTTCTAGTCTGCTAATAAGTGCTCAAAGGGGCGTACCACTCTGCTTGTAAGTTTTAATGTGAAAGCATCTAACTCAAGTTCCAAAGGTCAGCAAACCCAGCTCCCTGAATTAAGTGCAGAGACCCCCCACTCCAGAAAGCCTCAGGCCAAAGGCACTCTACTTCCATGGAAGCCCAGGTCCCCCAGTTAAGTAGCCAGAGGCACCCCACTTCACAAGCTAGACTCTTGCACCAAAGCACACAGCATCATCACTTGCTCCATGGGATGGGAAGTCCATCACTCTCTTCCATGCTCTGGCTCCTGGTTCTGCGGCTGCTGCCCTGCTGTAGCTGTCATCTGGATTCAGGTTCACTGCTTGCTGATGAGATCCCTCCTCCTGCTTTTCAGAGGACTCATTATAAAATGACACTCAACAGGATGGCCACTCGAGGGAATCTTGTTCACAATTACTGCTAGATGAATCCTATCTGCATCTTCCCCCACCTTCTTCCCAAGATCCAGGCAGGGAAAGGTCCTTTGGTGGGAGTTAGAGGTTTTGGCTGGAAGAGCCACAGTAAATCATTCACTGCCCCTGCAGGGTTTTTCTGGTTTTATTTCTGCTCCTCTCTTTGTTATTGCCTTTCTTCTGGTAGGTTTAGATTTTCTTTGCTCTCCTTTTTGATAGTTCTTGGAATTGTTAGTTAGACTATTAGTGTGTGATGTTTCT